AAAAAAACAAACAAAAGGCCGGCATGGTGGTCAAGCCTGTAATCCCAGTACTTTGGGAGAGGCGAGACGGGCGGATCACGAGGTGCAGGAGATCGAGGACCATCCTGGAACACAGTGAAACCCCGTCTCTCTACTAAAAGAATACAAAAAAACTAGCGGGAGTGGCGTGCCTGTAGTCCCAAGCTACTGGGGAGGCTGAGGCAGGAAATGGCGTGAACGCCCAGGAGGGAGCTTGCAGTAAGCTGAGATCCGGCCAGCTGCACTCGCGGGCAGCCTGGGGCAACAGAGCGGAGACTCCGTCATCTCAAAAAAAAAAAAAAAAGGCTTGGGGTCGGGTGAGGGGGTGGGAGAAAAGCTCTAGCCAATTATGAATTTGAACTCCTGGGCTTAAGCAATTCTCTCATCTCAGCCTCCCAAAGTGTTGGAATTGTAGGCGTAAGCCACAGCACCTGGCTTTTTCTTTTTTATTTTTTTGGGGAGATAGGATCTTGGTCTGTCACCCAGGCTGGAGTATAGTGGCTCAATCACAGCTCACTGCAACCTCTACCTCCTGGGCTTAAGAGGTTGTCCCACCTCAGCCTCCTGAGTAGCTGGGACCACAGGCATACCATACCACACCTGGCTAATAGTTGAATTTTATGTCGAGATAGGGTTTTGCTATGTTGCCCAGGCTGGTCTCAAACTCCTGGGCTCAAGTGATCCTCCCACCTTGGTTTCCTTTTTTTTTCTTTTTTTTTTGAGATGGAGTCTCACTCTGTCACCCAGGCAGTGCAGTGACTTAATGCAACCTCTGCCTCCCGGATTACAGTAATTCTCCTGCCTAGCCTCCCGAATAGCTGGAATTACAGGCATGTGCCACTACACCTGGCTGATTTTTATATTTTCAGTAGAGACGGGCTTTCGCCATGTTGACCAGGCTGGTCTCGAACTCCTGACCTCAGGTGATGTGCCTGCCTCAGCCTCCCAAAGTGCTGGGATTGCAGGCGTGAGCCACTGCACCTGGCCCCCGCCTTGGCTTCTGAAAGTGCTGGAATTATGACCTTGAGTCACTGCACCCGTCTTCATCGTTAAACTTCTTGAGGATCATCTACAAGTCTATCCACCTCTCCCATCACTCATCTGACCTGAGAGGATTTGAATGGAAGTATTGCTGGCATAGAGGAATGGGGCTGTGAGAGGGGACGGGAAAGAAGCCAGTGAAAGGTACATTATTGAGCAAATTACCCCCGTGGGCAACTGGAGCTCAATCCCATTGGGGATCTCTGGGACCCAGTGCAGAATGTGCATCAAAGTTATCCTACCCAGCCGGGTGCAGTGGCTCTCACGTGTAATCCCAGCACATTGAGAGACCAAGGTGGGTGGATCACTTGAAGCTAGGAGTTCGAGATCAGTCTGGTCAACAAGGTGAAACCCCAGCTCTACTAAAAAAAAAAAAAAAAATACAAAAATTAATTGGGCATGGTGGTGCATGCCTGTAATGCCAGCTACTTGGGTGGCTGAGGCACTCCAGCCTGGGCAACAGAGTGAGAGTCTATCTCAATAAATAAATAAATAAATAAATAAATAAAAGCTATTCCACCCAAGGGGCAAGGAAGTGAGGTACTCACCTCCCAAAGTAGTTTCCCTCACAGGCTGGGTCTGCTGAGTGCGTGGCGGGAGCCACTGTAGCACTTTGCACTGGCCTTGTACATTGGCTAAGGGACTCCTGAAGCCAGAATACGGCCCCCAGGGTGAGCCTCAGGTGGTGGCCATGAGGATCCTTTCTGTAGAGGTGAGTGCCAAGGGGATGTGGGTGGGGCACCAACAGGATGGACTACATCCTATGTATTCATCCGTTCTCACACTGTTATAAAGATACTACCTGAGGCTGGGCACAGTAGCTCATGCCTTTGGGAGGCTGAGGCAGGCGGATAACCTAAGGGCAGG